AAGAAAAATGAAAAAAAAAAAGCAAACTCACTTTCATTCCCCCAAAGGAAGAACAGTTAGGGATGAGGCTGAGGATAGCACTGGGCTGAGACCTGTCGGAGACAGAACTAGCCATGGGAAGATGCAGGAGAGAGCCTTCCTGGGATGGGAAATAAGAGGTGCAAAGGCCCTGGAGCAGCAGACGGTCTGGAGAGAGCAGCAGGAGCCCTGCGGCATGGCCAGTTGCCAAGGGAAACCCTGGAAAGCTGAACCCATGGCCACAACATAATATGACATGTTTATAAGAGAAAAAAACAACCCAGGAAGCTACTGTGGCATTTATTTTTAAATCCAAGACCTGCCTACAGAAGCTGGGAAGGAATTATGTACCAAGAAGCCCATTAAATGAAGGGGTAAGGAATTAAGACTTACTTAACATTAAAGTGAATGATGGCTGCTGCAGATTTTAAATTTGCTAATTATTGTTCAGTAGGTCATCAAAGCACACACACACTAGTATGCTCATTAATTCAGTGTTAATTGTCCCTACTGACTTTCAAATACCACTCTCCAAAAATTAAGTAACTTAGGAGTGTGCGCTCGTTCTTGTATAAAAGTAGACAGGAGATGACAAGGTGCAAATCTGAAGTTTGGTTATAGTTAGTCATCATGAGGGAGAAAAATACCAGGAGGAGAGTCCTCTTTCCATGAAGTCCCGAGAATGAATTCCTTTGATTGAAGTAGAATTTGAACTCAGGGCCTCACACTTGCTAGGCAGGTGCTCTACCACTTGAGCCACTCCACCAGCCCTTTTTTTGTGATGGGTTTTTTCAAGATAGGGTCTCACGAACTATTTTCCCAGGCTGGCTTTGAACCACCATCCCCTCCTGATCTCTGCCTCCTGAGTAGACAGGATTACAGACATGAGTCACCAGCGCCCAGCCTGAAATGAGCAGGGGCCCTCCAGAGCCATACTGGACCCTGGGGTGGAAGGAAGAAAATCATAATACTTGTCCTGCTTTCATTTAAAATTGTGGCATTTTTGCTTATCCTGGGCTTTCGGATTGATTTTGATCTTTAAAAAGATTGCATTCTACTCGGAACAAGAAGGTAGGAGAATCGTGGCTGGAGGCCAGCTCAGCTTGGTTAGCTCAAGACCTATCTGACAATAAAGGGTCGGCAGCATGGCTCAAACTGTAGAGTGAGAGGCCCTGAGTTCAAATTCCAGTGCTCTCAACAAAAAAAGGACTGTGTTAAAATATTATGCATGTTGGTGACTAGTTTTTTGGGTACCACCTTCCATTGTGTGTCCCAGGTGACAGCCTCACTTGCCCACCCCTGTCCCAGCTCTGGTGCTGTTCCAATAAAGTTCCAACAAACTTGATTTCTGTACACTGAAATTTGATTTCATAGAATTTGTGTGTCATAAAGTATTCCTTTTTTTCCAATCACTTCAAAAATGCAAAAATATCCTCAGCTTGAGGAAACTCAACAAAAGAAAAAGTCATGTGGCAGGATGGCCCCCGCTTCGATGGCCATTTAGGGAGCCATCCCACTCCTGACTAGTCACTGCTCTGACTCTCAGGAACTTGGCCTGCTTTCTCCTTAGGTTGCTTGTCATTCTCTTCCCACTCTTTTGACCCCAAACACAGACACACACAGGCCCACAGCACACAAGCTGTCAGACCAGAGATGGCCCAGCCTGGCAGTGGGAATGCCAGTGAGGGGAGGGACGCAGCTGTGAGTGACTGAGACCTGGACCCCAATCTGCCTTGACTGTTCTTGTCTGTTAGGGTGAAAGTGCCCCCTTCCCCGTGGCTCACCTGAATCCACAGCTAGTGCTTGGCCACAAGCCATGCAGAGGACACACACAGGGACTTGGCTCTAGCTGGGACCCTACGACGGGGTGGGAGAGGTGGGACCTCCCCAGAGCAAAACAGAAAGAATGAGCTCCCGCTAATGTCACAGTGGGATTGGAGGACACAGTTAGAGGAAATTTTTTTATCGTTATTAAATTATGGTAAAAGACATATAACAAAATGTATCATTTTCACTATGTTTAAGCTCACAGCTTAGCAGCACTAAGCATACTCATATGGCTGTGTAGCCATCCCCACCATCCATCTCCAGAACCTTCTATGTCCCCCACACTGAAGCTCTGTCCCCACGACACTAACTCCCTCCCTCCCCAATCCCCAGCACAACCATCCTGCTTCCTGGCTCTATGGCTCTGTGACTCCAGGGACCTCCTGTGAGTGGCGTCCTGCAGTGCGTGTCCTTCTGTGTCTGCTCATTTCACTGAGCACCGTGTCCTCATTAACACTGGAACAGGTGTCAGAATGGTCTTCCTTTTCTCGACTGAGTCATATTCCATTGTATGAATGGACCACAGGGTGTCGATGGACCCAGTTGCCATTTGCTATGGTGAATGACATTGTAATGAACACTGGTGTACACACGGTTGGTCAAGCCCCGGGTGTCTACACAGAAGTGGGATGGCTAGGTCACGTGGGAATTCTATTTCAATCTTTTGAGAAAGCGCCATGCTGTCTTCCATAGTGGCGGCACTGCCTTACATTCCTGCCCACAGTGCCCAAGGCTTCCATCCACCTGGGTGGCAGGCAGCTCACTGTGGTCTCAGCTTGCATGTAAGTCTTCTTGGGAGAAATGGCTAGTCAAGTCTTTTGTCCCCTTTTGTTCTTTTTGTGGTACTGGGTTTTGAACTCAAGACCTCCTGTTTGCTAGGAAGGCGCTCTACCACTTGAGTCACTCCGCCAGCCTCGATCCTCTTATTTATGCTTCCCACTTAGCTGAAAGCTACTGACTGAGATGGGGTCTTGCTAACTTTTCGCCCAGGCTGGCCTTGAATCTTAATCCTCCCAGTCTCAGCCTCCCAAGTAGCTGGGATTACAGCTGTGAGGTGCAACACCTAGCTCTTTTGCCCGTTTTTTAATGGGGTTGTGTCATTTTCTGATTCTGGAATTCTGGACAGGAGCTCCTTATGACCCACAATTGGGAAACATTTTCTCTTATCCCCCAGGCTGCCCAGTTAATCTGTCGATATCGTCCTCTTAGGAAGTTCACTCTACCTGCTTTTGCTGTTGTCAGTGCTAAATCCATAGCCATGGGCAAGTCCCTTATGTTCCCTCTGAGAGTCTCACAGCGTTTCGTGCTCAGGCCTTTAACCCATTGTGAGTTAGGGTTTATAGATCGTAAAAAGTTCCTCATTCTTTTGGGTGTGGAGATCCAGTTTTCCCAGCATCATTATTGAAAAGACCGTCCTTCCCCCCGAATGGTCTGGCCACCGTTGCTGGAATAAGACCCTAGAAACATGTGAAAGTTACATGATAACACTCAGGGTCTAGTCTTGCTCACTGGCTTTGGGAAGCAGTGGACAGGCACCAGCTCACTTTCTCTCTGGCGGTAAGATGCCCACAGGCTTCTTTCCCCTTAGCGGGTTCCTCCTCCCAGGGATCACAGGGTGCCTGCAGCTGAGCACGTGCAGTAGCGACACCGATATCCTGTGAGGGCCTGGCCTTTCCGGTTTCTTACCAAAGTGTTCATTTTTCACCTAAAATGGTTTGGTGTTTTTGTTTATTATTTTTTAAGTAATTTTTTTTTCTTCAGACAGGGTCTCACTCTGCAGCCCACACTGGCCTCAAACTCACAGTCCTCCCCCTACCTCAGCCTCCTGATTGCTGAGATGACAGGCAGTGCCACCACCACCAGCCGTACTATTTTTAAAAATCTCGAGGATTTAGGGCATTTTTTCCTTGTGATTTAGGGGAGCAATGACAGGAGGAAGTGGTTTGAATCCTGTGACATGCCCATCCGAGGGCTCTGGCAGGAGCCTGACCGTGGATTCGTGAGGGGGGCTTGAACATGCTGAGGGGAGGGTGGGTGTTTCTGCCCCGATTCTTCTGGAGAACTTCCCAGACTAGCAGATTCCGAGAGAGGTCAGGACTAAAGACGGGCTGAGCACCACTAGGCTGTGGAAATCTGGGTTTTGGTCTTTTTGGACTTGGGTTCACAAATGCCAGGACACCAGTTGACACCAGGGGAAGGCGCTGGCTCACCACAAGCTCGACCTCCGAGCACCTCGGCCAGCGATGATTAACTCAGGGACACTGAGGATCGGAGGAGACCAAAGTGGGCAGCCACTGCAGAGGGGCATGGCCGGGCACAGGACTCGCCCTTGATGGCTCCGTGGCACAGGGATGGAGGCGCATCCTCCCCTAACCCGAGAGGCCATCCCGAGCCCTTCCTGGCTCTCTCTGGGAGGCCTCGCCACGGTTCCCGCCAAGAATGCAGCCACCACGCGTGACTCAGAGCCACGCAGATCGCGTTGCCCTGAGGTTTCCACCCCGCAGCAAAGGGCTGAAACGATAGAAATGCAGCTTTCTATCCACACACTCACTTTTCCCCTTGGATTAGTCACAACGCACCGTCCTTTCTTGTGGGTCACTGCCACAAAGCGTTCCCACGGGGAGGTGGCCAGGTAGAAGAGCTGGCTTTTCCTAACCGAGCAGTGTCCCCCAGATCTGTCTTCCTCCACTGACATTAGCTGCAGTGGCTGATTTCAAAGCACTCCTGGTTGCACTGATGTGCATATCTGCCCCAGCAGCAGTCTCAAGGGACTGCCATTGGAACCATGGGCCCATGAGCACGGACCCTGAGTGACAGAGGAACTGTAAGTCCCAGGTACGAAGCACTTCCTGCCCAGGGACAGCTCTAACCCCAGCCCTGCCTATCCTGGGCCTGAAAGGCAAAGTAGGGCACAGAGAGAAAAAGGCACGGTCTCAGGTACAGCGAGCCTCCATATCCACCAGTCCTGCTTCCAAGGACTCAACCAACTCGGATTGAAAACATGTTTAAAAAACAGGGTCTGGAGCCTGGTATGGTGGTGCATGCCTGTAATCCCAGCTACACAGGAGGCATAGGTAGGAGGATCACCATCAGAGGCATGCCCCTGGCAAAAAATGAGAGACCCTACCTGAAAAGTAACGGAAGCAGAAAGGGCTGGAGGTATGGCTCAAATGATAGAGTGCTTGCCTAGCAAGCAAGAGGTCCTGAGTTCAAATCCCAGTGCTGCCAAGAAACAAAACAATAGCAACAAAAAAATCCAGCATCTGTCTTGAGCATGTAGGGACTTTTTTGTGTGTGTCATTGTTCCCTAAGCATTATAGTGTAACAACTATGTACACAGAATTTAACTGTAAAAGGAATTATCAGTCCCCAAGCAATGATGCATAGGTCCTGTGCAAACATCATCCGGGTTCATAACAGGTCTTGAGCACCCTCTGGTTTTCCTGTCCACAGGGGTCTGAACCAACCCCCATGGACACCAGGAGCAATAAAAAGGCAAAGGAAATGCAGCCTGTGAGATGCATGTGGCAAAGACTCGGTTACTTACAACAAAGGGGAAAATACTACCACAAATGCCATCCCTCCATTAAAGGACGCAAAAAGTGCATCACTGAAGGGCTGAGGGGTTGTGAGCCTCAAAATCAGCATCGTATTAACATGCGCGGGATGTCACTTATACCTTGTGCGAATCAAATATGAACCATTGTGTGCTCAGAGAGCTTTTTCTGGAAAGGGTCAAGGGCAAACATTTTCATCTTTGCAGGTCACACAGACTGTGGCTACTATTTGGCCCCACCCATTGTAAGGTTTGTGGCTTTGTGACAATAAAACGTTATAGACACTGAAATGGGAGTTTCAGGTTTTTTCATCTGTCTTAAAATAATCTTTGGGATTTTTCTCAAACCACTTCAGTGTCCATGAGCTGTGCAAAAACAGGTGTACTGGGTTGGTCTTAACTCAGTACTTAGGCCCAGTACTAGACTCAAGTGTTTTGACTCATGCCTTTTTATTTAAAATTTTTTGGCAGTACAGAGGTTTGAACTCAGGACCTCATGTTTACTAGGCAGGTGCTCTACCACTGGAGCCCACTCCGCCAGCCCAGCTCACGCCTCTAAAAGAGCTAAAATAGTTCTGGATGAACTATTACAAAGGCATCAAAGAATGTCAGAGAATATTCTAGAAATCTCAGTGTCTCTCGGGTCAGTGACATTGTGAGAGTGGGGCCCTGTCATGTCTCCTTTTCTGAGAGGCTGCGGGATTTGGGTCATCTCTACAAAAGGCCATATGCACAGCTGAGAGCTGGGCCATGTCCTAGGGAAGAGCGGGGACCGCCATCAGGTCTGTTGGTCCCAACCCTCTGCTATAGACAGAAGGTTTGGGTCCCCCTTAAATTCATAGGCTGAACCTTGTCCCCAGTTGGTGCATTAGGAAGCAGGGCCTTTGGGAGGCAGTTAGGTTATGGGGTGGAGCCTCATGAATGGCACTAGTGTCTTCATTCAAGAGAAAAGAGACCCAGCGCCCTCCTACCCCTTCTGCCATGTGAGGACACAACAAGAAGCTGACATCATGGAGAGAAGGGACAGGATGTCCTGGGGTCTCCCCAGGTACCTTGCTTTTAGACACGCCAGACTCCAGAACTGTGAGCGATGCATTTCTGGCGTTATAAGCCACCCAGAAGCAGTGGCCTGGCTCACCCTCCCTGCACCTTGTGAGACGACTTTGAGACTTCCACAGAGGAAAGAAAACTTTTGGATGCGTGACATTACCCAAGCCAACACCTTTGAGCAGACATTGACCCAAGGAAGACACACAAACAGCCAGTAAAGCACCCAAGAAGGTGTCTGAGGACATCAGCCCTCACAGAAATGCCAGTCAAGGCTACAGTGAGACACTCTCTACACCTACTGGGCGGGCTCTAAGAAACCCAGGGACAATGCCGAGTGCTGGTGAGGAGGTGGAGTCACTGGAGCCCCATTCGTCGCTGGTGGTAATGGCAAATGGCGTGGCCAATGTGGAAAACAGCTTCTCAAAGGTTACACTGGCGTTACCACCCGAGCCAGCAACTCTGCCCTTGTGTGCGTGCCTGAGAAAAATGAAAGCGTATGGCCACGCAAGCTTGCTGGCAGATGTTCATGATGGCGTTATTTATAATAGTCCAAAAACAGAAACAACCCAAATGTCCACCAACAAACGAACAAGGAATAAATTGTGATACATACTACATACGATGAAATACTACTCAGCCATGAAAAAGAATGGAATTCTGATCCACGCTGAAATATGAATGAACTTCAAAACATGATGCTAAGGGAAGAAGCCAGCCGCAAATGGTGACTCCAATTACAGGCATAGTCACAACAGGCTTTGTCTGCCGACAGAAAGGAGGCTGGGAACTGCAGAGGACAGGTGGAAGCTGTGATCAACTTTCTTTTTTGATAGCACTGGGTTTGAACTCAGGGCCTCACATTTGCTAGGTGGATGCTCCACCGCTGGAGCCATGCTTCCAGCCCTTTTGCTTTAGTTATTTTTCAGACAGAGTCTTGTGTTTTTGCCCAAGCCGTCCCTGAACCTCGATCCACTCAATCTCTGCCTCCCAAGTAGCTGGGATTATAGGTGTGAGCCACCATAGTTTTAATATGTACGGGGTTTCTTTTGGGGATGATGGAAATATCCTGGAGCTACATATTGATGATAATTTTACAACGTTCTGAATATCGTTAACACGTGACCTGAAAACCATGTAAAAATGAGTGCATTTTGTCACCTGAATTTTATCTCATTGTTTTTAAAAATGACATGGTCAGCGTGGACAAATGCCAGACAAGAAGAAAAAGAGATGATACAGGATCTAAAGGGGACTGGGGAGTGGCTTGAGTGGTAGAGCGCCTACCCAGCAAGAGTTCAAACCCTATACTGAAAAAATTTCAGGGTCTAAAGCATCTCATACCTTCGAGAAGTGAAATGTGATACCATTCATAGCTATGAGAAAATCAGGCCTAAGAACTCAAAGTCAAAACCTTTTTTTTTGATGGTTCTGGGGTTTGAACTCAGGGCCTACACCTTGAGCCACTCCACCAGACCTTTTTTTTTTTTTGTGAAGTATATTTTCGAGACAGGGTCTCATGAACTATTTGCCCAGGCTGGCTTCAAACTGTGATCCTCCTGATCTCTGCCTCCTGAGTAGCTAGGATTACAGGCGGGAGCCACCGGTGCCCGGCTCAAAATTCTTTTTAACATTTGAAGAAATAAACTTTAGTGACAAATAGTCTCTAAGAGTCTTCCTCCATGGAGACCTCCAGTGACAGGGAGGGAAGCCTGTTTTAGCAATGCCAGGCTTATGGTGCCAAAGCATTTGGTTAGGCCAGTCCCATAAATAGAACAGGTCTCAGGAATGAATGAGCCACCAGCAGCTAGAGGAGAGGTGGGCACTGCGCAAGGAGGAATCCCAAACAATGAGATGGTGTCCCAGTTTGAGAATTGAGAGCACTGCAGGCTTTATGAGCCAAGCCCTCACTGAACATCACCACCGAGGAAAAAAGGAGCAAGTAGTTTCTAGAAGAGCCAAGGAAAACTGGTTGAGGCTAGTGGCTTGAAAATCTTAACGGAGGTTGAAAAAATTATTCATTGAATCTGAGGAAAGCTCAGGTGAAGAACGATGGCTGGTGAGGGCGAAGTCTTGGGAGTTCTGGTCTTAAACCATTTATACAAAGAGAAAGCGTGCGCACTGCATCAGGGTGGACTGTGAGAGTGAGGGGGAGGCTCAACAATGAAGCTGTCATTGGGCAGAGTAGGTACATGTCACAGGAGGCCAGTCTGGCTGGCCTGGGACGACCTGGGGACAGGGCTGCCCACCAGACTGCAGAGTGCCTGCTTGGGGGAGGGAGGCAGCAACACTGAGCCCATGCATCAGTGGAGAGCTGGCAGGCGCAGGTCGCTTGCTAGGTGACAGAGCAGAGTCAAGGGCAGTAAGTGTGAACTTGTGGTGGCACAAACGGGCCCCACAGCAAGGCCTCCCCAGGGGTACTTGGCTGGGCGCAGCTCACGGTGGCAGAATGAGGCTGGGTCAGGAGCACAGGGACTGGGAGGTGGGCAGAGCAGTCCCGACAGGGAGCCAGTTCCAGGTGGCGGGGTGGCCCTGCAAGGAGGTGTGAGGGGCTGCAGGATGGAGCAGGACTCGGGGAGCCTGGGCCGAGGGGACATGGACACGTGTCTGCCAGATGGCCGGGGACCCATGCCTGGGATTCTTGGCTTGTCAGGATCCAGTCTGTGCTGTAGGGCAAGGCCATCAATGGGTCGAGGATGTAAGGGCCAGGGCACACACACCTGTGCAGGTGGGGAGGAGGTGGGGAGGCTCGGGCTGGGACTAAAGGAGAAAGTGGCCTTTCCTGTGGGATTGGAGTGAGAATGGCAAGTGATTTCAAGGTGGGTGATTTCGAGGAGAGGACACCCCCTCCAGGACTTTGCAAACATCCCCACATGTGCACACACAATTTGGACAAGGGCACTTGCTTCTGCAACATGGCTGGGAGAAGAGGAAGATGTCTAAGCAAAATGGCTCTTGCTAGGGAGTAAGCCAATACCACAGAACACATCTGTATGGTGGACCTGAGGCAGGAGGAATGAGGCAGAAACACGAATGGTGACATGGAGAGAGATGGGCTCAATAATGAGCGAGAAGAGTGGCTGTACAACAGTGGGCATACCACCATCTCTTTTCTTGCAAAACAAACAAAATACACTATTAGCAGCTACTTGAGGGGTAGCTACTTGGAGATCGGGAGGATGGCGGTTCAAGGCCAGCCTGGGGAAAAAGTTAGCAAGACCCCATCTCAACCAACCCAGGCACAGTGGTGTATACCTGAGATCCCAGCTAGTTGGGAAGCCTAGGTAGGAGAATCTCAATTGAGGCAAGCCCTGGGAGAAAAATTCGAGACCTACCTGAAAAATACCTGAAGGAAAAGGGGGGTGGGTTGGGAGTGTGGCTTAACTGGTAGAGCACCTGCTAGCAAGTACAAGGCCCTGAGTTCAAACCCTGATACCATTCAAAAAAAGCATAAAGGAGTGGAACGTGGATAGTAAGGACCCAGAAACGTCACAGTAAAAGAATGCAGTCACTAAAGGCTATATACCGCATGGACCCTGATAGGAACAGGTGACCCAAGGCAGGAAGTAGAGCGTGGGTGCCAGGGCTGGGAGAGAGATAGGGTTTCTTTTGGGGTTATGGAATG